GGGTGTGGGCTCTGGGCAGCCACCTCTGGGCTGCGTCCAGGGTTCCCCCTTCCTGAGGGCCCTGGGGATCCTCCCTGGGAATGGGATCCCAGCAGGTACTTGGCCCCTGGCCCCAGCCCCTCTCCCACCCTGCTCCTTTCCCCCCGTGCAGCCCCAGGGACCTAGGTCTGGTCTGGGTTGATGCAGGAGCTCTGGATCCCCCCAAGGTGGGGGTACAGTCCCTGCTCCCCCCTCCGGCTCCCGGCGCCAGGTGTTTGTTGACACTGCCCCCCTGCCCTGCCCCACGCTTTGTTCTCCGTGGGTCGCTCCCCACGCTCCCCCCACCCAGGCCCCCTTCCCGAGGCCTTTCTGGGGAACAAAACAACTGCTCAGCCCAGCCCTTCACTCACACCTTCCAGCGGACCCCTGAGCAAGGCTCCAGCGTGGCAGCTGCCCCTGCCGCTTCAAAGCCATCTGGGAGGCGAGGGCAGGAGTGGGCAGCCCGGGCCCCCCGCCGGGGCCGACGCTCCGCAGCAAATCCCTCCTGACACCCCGGGATGGCCTTTGCCTCCCCCCAGAGCTGCAGGGTGCGCCCGGCTCTGCTTCCATAACACCTCCAGGGCTGCAGGGAGGAATTTCCCCCAGGAGCCAAGTTTGAAGTTAAATGAGAACATGGGAGAGGGCTGGGAATGTGGAAGGATTAGTTCCCATCGCACACAGAGTTTTTGTTGTGGTGACGTGCTGACGTCCGTCTTGTTTTCCAACCAAAACTTGTTTTTAAAGTGCTTTTTCAGGTGGTTATTGATCACAGAACCCTAGACTGGTTTGAAGGGACCTTAAAGCCTATCCAGTCCCAGCCCCTGCCATGGGCAGGGACACCTCCCGCCAGACCAGGTTGCTTCAAGCCCCATCTAATCTGCTCTTCAACACCCCACCCCCCCCAGCCTGTCTCCAGAGCAGAGCTGCTCCAGCCCTCCCATCATCTCCATGCCCTCCTCTGGGCTTGCTTCAACAGCTCCATGCCCTCCTTGTTTTGGGGACCCCAGAGCTGGACCCAGCCTTGCAGGGGGGGCTTGAAATTTGAGACTTAGGAAATAAGCTACAGTTCTGTAGGATGAGCCTTTGTGGAGTGGGTGGGAATGACCCCACGGCTCCAGGTGATCTTTTCCAGGGGTCACAAACCCTGAAGTTCTGGTCAGGTTTTTCCCAACCCTTTTCCCATGAAAATGAACCCTTTTCCCCAACCCATCCTCTTTCCCCTTTCTCCTCTCTGGTTGTATCTTGGACACAACAAACCCTCTTCTCCTCCAGCTGTTCTTCTCCTGCCTGTGCTGAGAGGGATGATTGATCCTTATGGCGAGGAGTGGGGGGGCTCCAGCCCCCCCTGGCCCCTCCCTGACCCCTCCCTCTCACAGGTCTCCCCGGGGAGTCCCCCCTGGTGCAGGTGCTGGAGGAGGAGTCCCGCAGCCGCCTGGGCCGCTTCAACCAGAAGGACGTCTCCATGGTGTTCAGCAGCGTGATGAGGCTGCACCCCTCCAGCCCCCACCCCCTGGTGGAGTCCTGCCTCACCAGCCTGGAGCGGCACCTGGAGAAGGAGCGGCATCCCCAGACCCTCTTCCTGCTCCTCTCCTACTACCGGCTGCGGGCGCAGGCCCTGCAGGGACACGCGGCCTCCGACCAGCAGCTGATCAACAACCGCAAGATCCTGCGGCTGGTGCGGCACACGCTGGGGCAGGTCAGCGCCATGCGGGAGCACGAGCTGGCCCTGCTGGACGAGATGCTGGCCCTGTGTGCCCAGGAGGCCAACAACAAGGCCCTGGAGGCCATCTTCAGCTCCCAGCTCTTCTACGAGAACCGCCAAGAGCGATTCATCCGCAGCATGGCAGGTGAGGGGCTCTGCCCTGGGAGGGTCCCACAGCTTCCCCGGCCTTGGGGGGCATCTGGGCTTGGGAGGGCACCTGCCTGGGGGGTGTTGGGCTCCAGGGCTGGCAGCACTGGAGCTGGAGATGGTCCATGTCATGGCTGCCTTGTCACTGAGTTCCCAGCATGACCCTTCCAGTGGCTGAGCCTGCCTCAGACCTGGTAGCAGGTTAGGGTTAGGGTTTGCATGGAAAGGTCTGGGTGGGAAGGGACCTTGAAGGGCCATCCACTTCAGGGACATCTTCAGCCAGATCAAGTTGCTCAGAGCCCTGTCCAGCCTGACCTTGAATGCTTCCAGGGATGGGGCATCTCCCACTGCCCTGTGCAATCAGGGCCACTGTCTGACCACCCTCCCAGCAAGGAATTTCCTCCTTATATCTGGTCTGAGCCTTTGCTCTTTGCATTTAAAACCATTAAAACCAGCTTAAAGCCATCACCCCTTGTCCCATCACTACAGGCCCTGCCAGGTCTGTCCCCACCTCTCTCACAGGTCCCCTTTGAGCACTGAGGAGGATTTGGGGGGTTTTTCTGCAGCAGGGCTCCATTCTCTGCATGCTCCAGTTTTAATCCATTTCCCCTCATCCCATCCCTCCCTGCCCTTGTCCCAAGTCCCTCCCCAGCTTTTCTGGAGCCCCTTCAGGCACTGGAAGGTGCTCTAAGGTCTCCCTGGAGCCTTCTCTT